AAAGTGGGACCTTGAGACCCTATGACTGATCACATTTTATAATTCCTTCTAAAATATTAGCTTTGCCTCCCCAAATAGACCTGGGATACGGTTCTGTAAGGTCCCATCTGTGGCACTTTATTACACATCATTAGTATCTAACTAAATGCAAAAGTGAGTTTAAAAAAAAACACACAAGCTGGGTGTGGTGTTACGTGCCTCTACTCCCATCACTCAGGAGATTGAAGCAGGAGGATCACAAGTTCAAGGCCAGCCAGGGCTACATACTGAGTTCAAGGCAAGTATGAACTATATAGCAAGACTCTTTCAAAAGAAGGAAGGGAGGGAGGGAGAAAGGGAGAGAGAGAGGGAGGAAAAAAATAAAGGTGAAACATAAAGGTTTCAACATACTGAGGAAAACTTTTGCTGAAATTATATTCAGAAGATCTAAAAAGTATCTGTTCTACTAATCTGATATTTCTATTGGAAAGAGGTATTCATTCAAAATTTATACAAGGTCACAAAATATTTTTTAAAGCCTGTATATTGAAAGACTTTCTGGCAAAATGTGTTGTTGTTGTTGTTGTTGCTTTTTGCAAAATGCATAAAAGTTGTATTTTTGTTATTTCTGGTCAGAGATTATATGTTTCTATGTTTTATATAATACATGAAATGGAGGAATAATTATAGTAATAGGAAAATACAATGTATAAAGGTAGAACTATGTTTGTGAAATTCTCTGCAACTTAGGAAATCAAGTTTTCAGGGTAATCCTCACTGTTGTATGTTGGAGGCCAGAAAGAACCCTTGTAGAAAGAGTTTGTAGCTTCACCGAAAGGAAGCCAGACTAGTGGCAATGAAAATTAAGAGGTTTCTGTAAGATTCTTTAAGATAACAGATGTGAAATAAAACATGAAAGTGTTACAGTGTGTCAGTAAGCAATTACTTTCAGGTTTCATAAGCAGGTACAATCTTATTTGTAAACTGTTAATAGGGGACACTACAGTATACTGATCACTGCTAATTAGTAAGAAAGGCCAGAGAAGGGCAGGAGGATACAACATGGTGAAGTGGTGTACACTGTCTCTGTTAAATGCAACTATAAACATGCCAACAGAAGAAGTCTTAGATGGAAACTCCAGCAGTGGGAAGCAATTTATTCATGATTGACATGATTAAAAAATAACTTTCAACTGGTATTTGAGTGCCATGACTTGTTGCATAAAAATATGTTGAAAATATTATAGCAATCTTGAACAGATAAGGTTGCAAAAATAAATTCTGTATAAACAACAGTTCTAAGTCGATGGACCTATGAAAAGCTTATGTTGCCATTTTCATGAAGAAAAATCCAATAACAATAAAATACAATGCATAATGGCAAGATTTCTGCTGTACAGCAGGCCAGTACCTATGTGCAAAATCTTTGAGAATTAATTATGATATTTCTTATAACAGTTCTTCCAAAAAATTCAATACAATTCCATTTTGACCCCTCTTGTCCCAAGTAATGCATAGAGGTACAACAGTTATTGAGTTATTCATTAAGTGGCTATAATATAATCAAATCTAAAACCATTCCCAAGGATATCTCATATAAGAAAGGCACCTGATGGTTCATCTACTACTCCAAACAAACTGAGAGATGGTAATGAATTATAATTTGTACTTGTCTTGAATGTTCATATAAAAGTGCCTAAATAATTCCAAAAAGCAATGATGTTTGCCATTCATCAGATATCTGTTGGAAATTTCTATATATGCTGAAAATATAATAGAACAAAGAGCCCAATAAATAATACTGATAGAATTATTAAATCACCCTTTACTTAACTAAAAAGAGCCATAAGATGTTACTCTATGAGATTAATTTTGCTCTGGAAACTTCCTTTTGAAGAATCTGATTAGAATTTGTATGTTAAAAATATGTAACTAACAGAAAAGAAAGATTAGTTTACTGGTCATGGTGGCTCATGCCTGTAATCCCAGCATTCGGGAGGCAGAGGCAGGAGGATCGCTGTGAGTTCAAGGCCAGCCTGAGCTACATAATGAGTTCAGGGCTGCGGATTTAGCTCAATGATTCTGCCGCCTGGTTCACAAGCTCAAGGTACCAAGTTCAATCCCTGGCACCAAAATAAACAAACAAACAAAAAACTATAATGAGTTCAGGGCCAGCCTGAACTATAGAGCGAGACCCTGTCTCAAAAAACAAAAAAACAAAACAAAACAAAAAAAGAAAAGAAAAAGAAATAAAGACTAGTTTGGAAAAAATATTCAAAGATATTTAAAATGAAATACAATTAAAACTACCATCATTACATCATTAACAAGGAAACTAGTACGCATGTACGTGAGGCAGAATTCAAAGTTTACTTCACTGAAATATGTTTTTAAAGTATAATTTTGAAGTAAATCTATAATGTTTAAAATATATCTATAACAAGAAGTACGAAAAGCCAAGAATAAAAAGAATCTTATCTATTCTTCATCTACAGTATATTTTGAATTAGTAGAAATCTTTAGTTTAGTTCTTCATACACTTACACTGTAACTATTAAAATTAGTTCCCTACATTGTTTTCCTTGCTTCAACTACTTTAATGTTCAAATCTCTACTAGTTCTCTACAGGGCAAACTAAACTCCTTGGACTGGCATGTATTTGGGGCCAATTTATTTCCAACTTCATCACTCCTATTCCTCATTCAGACTATCCTTCCACCGCTCCACTCCCAGGTCAGTGAACGAGTTCCTGCGTTTCCTTATCATTTTAATCTGCCTGAAGGCCCCGCTCTTTTCCCGTCCTCCCGTAGGCTGAGTCCTAACCTCAAAGCCAAGTTACATACACGTTCACTAGCAAGGCTATAGTCCATGACACTGATATCATACAAAAAGTCCTTTGGAGATATTGCCGCTTATACCCTACTTATTCCACCATATGATTTCCCACTTTAACTGTACTGCAAAACCTGGACAGTCCTTATTCCACATATTTATATTCTAGCACCTTGTATCTAACCCATGCCCCCACCTCCCACAGTGACTCTACCAGCAACTTTCTAAAGCAGATATTCCTCTAGCATCTGCTGAGTCGGAGACATGCAACAGCAATGATGCATGAAAATTAAAAATTAGCTTCTCTTTAATGATATGAGGACAGTTTGAATAAAAAATGTTTAAAATAAAGTGTGCTACATTTCTATCTGTATGCAGCCCACTAGTAGGAACCCAGTCAGTGATTAATCTAATACCATGATTATCTAAAGTAAACACAATTAAGAGTAACGCTTACTACAGAAATAAATGTTAAGTAAATTTAACCTATCACTGTGCTATTTCGAATTAGACACAGTTAAAGTTCTACATTTATGCAACCATAAAAATGAATCCACAAACTTCAAGAGAAATCCTATGTGAACTTATGTGTATATGTGTGTGGTTTTTATACACAATAGAACACTGTAGAAGAGAGTACAATTCTGGAAAAGAAAAAATGAGAAATAAGGAAGGATTTTTTTCTACTTTCCACTCTTCTGTTATTTTTGTACTACAAAACATATGTAACATTGAAATTAACTCCACACACATTAGAGTAGTCTAATGAAAGTCAAAACATTTTTAGATGATTCATTTACTGTTATAGTGGACAAATAGAAATTTTAGATGGTAAGAGCAGAGCATGAAAGAAAACAGACTAAACAATGAGTTTTTGAAGGTCCAACGGGGAGATTTTGTTTTTATGGCTTAATTTCTGTAAAACAAAGGACAAACTCCTTCTTAACTTAGTATTTCCTAATTTAAATTCTTCTTTCATCTGTGTGTCCAACCCCGCTATATACTTAAGGACAGAACTACCCAAAGGCACAATCCATCCTTCCAAGTAGTAAAAGGAGACAGTAAAACTCTCTTCCCAAGGTACAAGACAATAATAAGAAAAGCATCTCATTAGATGTTCTCTGGGAGGAAGCAGCTGCCCTTCGGCAGTGACTTTGACTACACTCTGTACTTCTTAACAAAAGTGCTCAGCACTCCTAACAGAAGTTGTGCACTGAGAAACATCTAGACCTCAGACAATTATTGTCTTTTTCAAGGTAAGGAAACCTGGTCTTCTGTGGAAGACTTCAAGCTATATGACCTAAGTCTTTTGGAGGCAGAGCCCATAGTCTTCTCCCTTTCAGATACCCAGACACTAAAATATTCTAGCAAATAATAGCTTTTTAGTTATCATTGGGTCAATGAGTGATGGTTTCTCAAATAATACACATTTGAAGATATCAGCATAATCACATAGATCCAACAGGTAAGGAAATAATAATCGTTTTTGTACATATTGGATTGCCTTTTTGCTTAAAATTCTAACATAAATAATAATGACAACCTTGATGTATGACTCCAGGCATTTTGGTTTTGTAGCAGCACAGGAGTCATCTTCTTAGTTACCCCAGTGAACTGCAGAAAGTTGGATACGGCAACGACAAGGAAAAGGAAAAGGAAAGGGCCAGGGGTGGTGGCCCTATGCCTGTAATCTCAGCACTCTGAAGGCGGAGGCAAGAGGATTGCATGTTCGAGGCCAGTCTGGGCTATATAATGAGTTTAAGGCCTACTTGAACTGTATATGAGGCCCTGTCTTAAAGAAAAGAAAAGAAAAAAGGAAAAAATGGAGGGGAGGTAGTCACTCTCTTTTCTCAGTTCCTGCCCTAGAAATCTATTTTTTTATGTTGGCTATCCCTTTCTGGTTAATCACTATAGAAGAAAATTTTAGGATAAATGTCCTTGAAATAACAAATTTTGGTTCTGGCAGCTAGACTTTCATGAACTTTCTGTAAATGCAGCAAACCACAAACTCATTTCCATTTTTTACTGGCACAGTTACTTAAAAGAAAGAAAACAGTTTTAGAAAATCTTTCACATTTATAGACATTTTCAATTTATTAAAACCAGACGATTAATTCCAAACAGTTTTAATACTTCTTCAACTTCAAGATCAAACCAGGTCACAAAAAAAGAAATGGCAGCACACTTACCTGAGGGTAAGGGGAAGTCCTGGATTTTGATTTTGAGCTGGACAGCCTCGACTTGGTGCCCTTCCTGTTATCGGTCAGAGTGGGAGTTGAGCTGCTGGCATAGGAGAAAGCTGGTTTGGAGGCCGAGATCTGATCCAGGGAGAGCTGCAGCCCCTTGTACTCTGTGTCTCTGCAAGATGGGAAAACAGAGCCCTTAGTCATCCACTACAGGAAAGAAGTCATGCACTCTCTCATCAAGAATGACAGTAACCCATATGTGAAAAGGAAGCAAGCAAAAGTTACCCGTATAACTAGTCTCTGCAAACACCTGGGTTATTGCAGAAAAGCTTAACATTTAACTATAGTGTGTTAATGTGGCTACCACAGCCAGATTATATGATAGGCTCATGAAAAAAATAATGATTAAGATTTTTATCTTTATTTCTATGAGTTAAGTAGAGAAAAAAACCCTTAATTTAACTTCTCTGAGCTTTCATTCCCACAGAGGTGAGATATGAGTTATAAAGCCTGCTCTGAGTGTTTCTCATGTGGGGTGAACTCCACAGACATCTGGCCAAGTGATGCTACCTGATTATTAACAAGAATGTCTTCTATCAGCTCTTCCAAGATCAATCATTTTGGCAAACTCCAAATATTGTTACTGTTAGCTAAATAGTGCAACCAGGCTTATAAAAGCTTCCTTTCCACAGGGTAACTAATTCAATTCCCTCAAAGTACACTTTGCCACCAGTTCTTTCCATGCTTTCCTTCATTCAATAAATATTCACTTAATGCCTAATATATTCAGACTTTGTGCTGTGTGGAGATGCAAGAATAAATCAGGTATCTATAAGCCCTGTCCTTGCACAGATTATAATCCACATGAAGAATAAACAGTAGTTTAACATATATAATAATTGCATGCTAAATTTTAGAGGAATAGTTAACATTAGGAAGCTCACTTGAGATATAGTATTTAGAGGATGAAGATGACAAACTTGGTCCACCAAGAAACATAGCCTCAGCTCTCTTTCAGGCAGCAGTAAATCTCATTTGATGCCTAAATTTTTCTTAAGAGGATATCATCCCTTTTCACTGTCACTAGAACAGAATGTTTCACAATCTTCCTTATGAAGGCTCATGGAAGAATTTTCTTCCAGGTTCCAGAACTAACAGGGATGCTATTTGTTAATTGACTTCATGTAACACATCATGTTTCCTTTTTTGTGCTAGAAGTTGAAAGGCCCGAGCCCCAAGTCCAGTTTGTAATCACTTCTACAAGTGTACAAAGTTCTCATTTTTTTTTTTTTTTGAGACAGGGTCTCACTAGGTAGTTGAGACTGACCTGGAACTCACTATGTAGCCCAGGCTGGTCTCAAACTCACAGTGATCCTCCTGCCTCAAATACCAAGTGCTGGGATTACAGGCGTGCGCCACCACGCCCAGCCTCAAAGTTCTTGTTCTTGGGGCAGGCATTTTGTACAGCAAGCTCCAGTGATTCCCCTTATTTTTCTAACCTTAATTATCTTTCCCTCTAATTCTCTAATGGGGTTGCCTTCTTTAAATTTTTATGTGCATTTTTAATTCTGTTTGGATTAAGATGGGTATGTGAAAATAAGTTAATGAAATTATTTGTATAAAATAACTAGCAAATGCTGTCAACTGGCAATGATTCATTTGTCTTCTTTTTCACTTCCCTTTCAGTTCTTCCATAACAGGGTCAGGCAAAAGAAAAAGTGTGATTTAAGAAAAAGTACTCTAAAATTGCTAAGACTGGATTTTAAGTGTTCTTGCCACAAATAATATAAGCATGTGACATAATACATATGTTAAATAGCTCCATTACGGCACAATGTATAAATGTGGAAACATACAATATAACATCATACATTTGCAAAATTTTACTTCTCAATTTAAAAAGAGAAAAAGTATAATTCAAGCAATGCATCTCTCAAGACAGTAGGAACAGAAACAAACCAAAACAATTCCAGTAATATCACTATCACAAACTACCAGTGTAGTAACCTATAAATAGCAAATTACAAAAGCTTTCATAAATAATGGAGGAGAAGAGAGGTTGAAGGGAGGGTAGGGGATGGGAAAAGTAAGAATTAAGATATATTGTGTACAGTTACAAATTCCTGTGATCGTTGTGTATACCTAAAAATGTACCAATAACATTTAGAAACTTAATTATTTTTTAAAAAACTAGTTAATTACTATAGATTCATACTAAATACAGTTGGCTCTCACATGCAGATTCTACATCTATGGAGTCATTCAATCTCAAATTGAAAATACTCCAAAAACACAAAAATAATGCATCTATACTTTTTTATATAATTTTTGATACCGGGGATTGAACTCAGGACCTTGTGCTTTTTTGAGGCAGGCGGCGGAACCACTGAACTAAATCCCTGGCCATGTTGCATCTATACTAAGCATGCATAGACTTTCTTCTTTGTCCCCTAAGCAATACGGTATAATAACTATTTACATAGAATTTATTTTTTTATATTTTAAGCATCTAGAGATGAGTTAAAGCATATGAGTAAGTTATATGCAAGTACAGTGTCATTTTATACAAAGAGACTTAAGCATCCATAGATGTTGGTACCATTTGGGGTTTCTGGAACCAATCTTCCACAGTAACTGAAGGTGGGTATATTCCTTTCATTCAGTGCAACTTTTTTTAAAAAAAATTTTTTTTAAAGCAGCAAAAACAGTGTGTGGCCCTGTTGTAGAGACTAGGGACACATCAGTGAACAGAAGGCCTCAGTGTCCATCCATCATGAAGAAGGTACTAGGGCCCATGGCTGAAGGAAATAGGACAGAGATCAGAAACCATGTTTCTCCTACTCTAGCTTTATTTTTGTTGTTGTTGTATGGTTTTGCTTTTTGAGACAAGGTCTTACTCTGTAGTTCAGGCTAGTCTTGAGCTCACTATGTAGCCCACGCTGGCCTCAATCTTGTAGCTGGCCATCTCCTATTTCAGCCTGCTGAGTGCTGGGATTACAGGCATGCCCCACCACACCCAGCTTCCTAATTTTATTTTTTTAAGTGATTCTGATTTGTTTTTTCCAGTGGAGTCTAAGATCTGAAAGGACAAGAGTCAAAAGATATTTTGTTATATTTAAAAAATGATTGCACAATATATCATATAAGTGGAAAAGGAAGAAGATAACAAGGACACGAATAAAAAAGGACCATTTTCTTCAATGAATACCAAGAACTTGCAATCCATCAGCATTTCCTGTACAGGAAAAGAAAAGTGGACTGTGAGTCCTCAGACCCACCTTCCACCTTCCACCTTCCCGTAGACAACTGTTTGACAAGCAAATTGGACTCTGACAGGAAGTGGAGTTTTCATTGTTGTGTACTTCCGGAGTCAAATATTCTTCCGTCCACTGGTCAGTCCTTGCCTGACAAGTCCTAAGCTGGTAATGAAAAGTATGCACCTCTGAAAATGTGACCAAACAACTTCATGTACCCATTGCTCAACACAGAGATTTCTAGTTATAAACAGAGAGTAAACAAGTATTTATTTTCTCTTGCATGCTTTCAGATACCAGAAAGTAATATACAGCCTACTACTGGTATAATTACAAGGGTGGTAACCCTTCCAAACTCATTCTATGGTGTTAGCATTATATGGACACCAAAACCAGATAAGGGATCAACAAAAAAAAGAAAACTAAAGATCAATATCCCCGATGAACACAGATGAAAGTTTTAACAACACACTATCAAACCCGATCCAGCTCCACATCAAAAAGATTACATACCATGATGAAATGGAATTTATTCCAGGGATACCAGGGTGGTGCAGTATATTCAAATCAAGAGCAGAGTGATGGACAAAAACCATACCATCATTTCGGTTACTCCGCATATGGAAAAAAAAGTATTTGATAAAAAATATTGCTTCAAGTTTTTTTTAAAAAATCAATTAATTAGGTATATGAGGAGCATACTTCAACACCATAATGGTTATATATGACAAACCCATAGCCAGCATCACGCTGATGGAGAAAAGATAAAAACATTTCCTCTAAAAATATGATAAAGATGTCCACTTTCACCACTCTTGTTCAACATAAGAAGTCTTACCCAGAACAATAATGTAAAGGAAAGAAATAAAAGACATACAAATAGGAGAAGGGAGAAAATCAAATTATCCCTGTTTGCAGATCATATGGTTTTATATTTGGCAAACCTGAAAACCCCAGAAAAGCCTGATAGAAATGATAAATTAATTCCGTAAAGTTGCAGAATACAAAAATCAACATAAAAAATTTTGTAGAATTTTTATATGAAAAGACCAAACTTTTTGAGAAAGAAAACAAGAAAGCAATATCATTCAAAATAGCTACAAAAAAAAAAGACACCTAGAAATAACTTTAAACAGGGAACACTGGTGAAAGAAACTGAAGATACCAAAAAATGAGAAGACCCTCCATGTTCACAGATTGAAAGACTATTGAGGGGCTGGAGATGTAGTTCAGTGGTGCAGCACCTGTCTAGTAAGCACAAGGCCCTGAGTTCGATTCCTGGTACAAAAAAAATAATATTATTAAAATGTCTACATTACTACTAGATTCAATGCATCTCCATCAAAATACCCATGATATTCTTCATAGAAATGAAAAAAATCCTAAAATTTATATAAAAGTGCAAAAGATCCCAGAAGATAGCCAAAGCAATGTTGAGCAAAAAAGTAAAAGTAAGGCATCACAATATCGATCTCAAGACATATTGCAAGGCTCTAGTAACCAACACAGCATGGTACTGGAATAAAACCTGACACTCAAACAGGTGAAACAGAATAGAAACATCAGAAATAAATGATTCATTTATAGTCAATTGATTCTCCACAAAGACACAAAAACATACATTGGAGATAAGAAACTCTTCAATAAACAGGATATCCATATACAGAATATCAAGAGTTAACTCCTGCTTCTCACTCTATAGAAAAAAATCAACTCAAAATAGATCAAAAGCATAAATAGAAGGCCTGAAACTGAAACAATGAAACAGCTGCTAGAAGAAAACATAAGATAAATATGTGAAATACTACATAGAAAAGTCATTTATGCCCCCAAAGTTAAAATTGTTATGGGAAATATAACAAAGTAAAATGTTGACATTTTTACAGACTTACATTTATAAGCAATGCACCCTGTCTTT